CCAACTCAAAAAAAAAAAAAAAGAACCAAATCAACTTTTAAAAACTTAATGGAAGGAGATTTTGTTTGACCAACTGTAATAGTGAGGCTCAACTAACCTTAGAGGAAATTGAGGAGAGAAATGGAAGATATAAAATAAAGTTTTTAAAAAGAACTAAATTGGGCTCAGTGGTTCAACCTGTAATCCAAGCACTTTGGGAGGCCAAGGTGAGTGGATTGCCTGAGGCTGCGGGTTCGAGACCCACCCGGGCAACTTGGGAAGACCTCGCCTCTACAATAAATCAAAAAAATTAGCCAGGCGTGGTAGCACATGCCTTTAGTTCTGGTTACTTGGAAGACTGAGGCTGAAGGATCGCCGGAGCCCAGCAGATCAAAGCTGTGGTGGCTGGGAGCATGCCACTGCACTCCAGTCTAGGCGACAGAGTGAGACTCCCACTCAAAAAAACAAGAACTAAATTGATCTAAAGATGAAAAATACAATATTTTGAAATGAAAATTTCACAAGATAGCATTAACAACTGATTAGACACTGTAGAAGACAAGGTTAGTGAACAGGAAGACACAGAAACAGAACATTCTAAAATTAACTGTGGCAAGAAAAAAGACTAAAATGGGAAAATGAACAGGAACTCAGTAACATGGAACATTATCAAGCAATAAAATGGGGAAGTGAAAGTGGGGGTGAGTATGGAGATTAAAAAATACATTTTGAAGAAAGGATGACTGAAACATTTCCAAATGGATGACCAGTGAAAAACTTTTAAAAATTAAGGTGAAAATAACTATTTTATGCTTAGGTGAAAGATGACATCAAGAATTTCAGTGGAGAACTGTAAACCATCAACTATGAACAAGAATCAAGTGACAATTCTAGAACTGAAAATATAATTGAAATTAAGATGCAGTGAATGGGTTTAACAGCATTAGACACATTCTAATGGAGAATTAAGGAACTAAATAGGAGTTAGTAAACTTTTTCTGTAGAGCCAGGCAATAAATATTTTAGGTTTTGTGGTCTGTGTGGTCTCTGTAACAGCTGTTCAAGTCTGTTGTTATAGCACAAAAGCAGCCACAGTCAATACTCATTTGAATGATGTGATTGGGTTCTCAGAAGATACTTTTGCTTTTTATCTTTTGACTTTGCTTTTCTGACTTATTTATTTATTTTAGAATTGGGAGTACATGTGAGTATGTTGTGTGACAGCGAGGCTTGGCCTTCTGATGAGCCCGCCCCAGCCCCGCCCCAGTGGTGAGCGTGGTACCCAATGGGTGGTTTTATATCCCTTATGCCCCCTCCCTTTCTCCATCAGCAATGCCCAGTATGTTGTTCCCATCCTTGTACCCGTTACGTGCTCAGTGTTTAATACCCACTTATGAGTGAGAACATGCAATATTTAGTTTTTCATTTCTGTGATATTTTATTTAGCATGGTGATCTCTAGCTGTACCCTTGTTACTGCAAACACTATAATTTTGTTCTTTTTTTTTATGGCCGTGTGGTATTCCATAGTGTATATGGACCACATTTTTTTATCTAGTCCACCACTGATGGGTACCTAGGTTGATGCCATGTTTTGGCGACTGTGAATAGTGCTGCAATAAACATCCAAGTGCAGGTGTCTTTTTGGTAGAATGACTTATGCTCCTTTGGATATATTCCCATAAGTGAGATTGCTAGGTACAGTCGTATCCCTACTTTTAGCTTGTTGAGAAGCCTCCAAGCTGCCTTCCATAGGGTTTGAACTAGCTCACGTTCCTACCAACAGTGTAGGAACATTCCCTTTTCTCTGCAGCCTCACCAGCATCTGTTGTTTTTTTGACTTTTTAATAATAGCCATCCTTGTCAGTGTGAGATGGTGTTTCATTGTCGTTTTCATTTGCATTTTTCTGATGATAACTGATGCTGAACATCTTTTCATATGTTTGCTGGTTGCTTGTATGTCTTCCTTTAAGAAGTGTCTGTTCATGTCGTTTGCCCACTTAATGGGGTTATGTGCTTTGTTTTTGCTTTTGTTTTTTTCCCATCAATTCATTTGAGTTCCTTGTAGATCCTGGATATTAGGCCTTTGTCAGATGCATAGTTTGTAAATATTTTCTTCCATGCTGTGGGTTATCTTTTTCTTGATGGTTTCTCTTGCTATGCAGAAGCTTTTTAGCTTGATAAGATTCCACCTGTCAGTTTTTATTTTTGCTTCATTTGCTTTTGAGGCCTTGGCCACTATTCATTGCCAAGGCTGATATCCAGAAGAGAAAATACTTTACTTACAAAAGCAGATGATCGGGACTTTGCTGACCTCTGAACTAAAAGATAGATGACCAGAAAATACCAAAATCAGGCGTGAAGAAACAAAAGGCTGAGCAGGACGGAAGAGATGCAACTTTTGCAAAAGATGATTATTTGTAATTCTTTTTCATTCACTAAGATGACACGTATTATTTCGATGTTTCAGCCAGAATGGTGATTATTTTTATAAGGAAAGAAACAGTTGTCTTTTGTTTTTCAGACCATGCAGGGAATTTTGGAGAAAAGCAAATTGTGCAAAGATGTGACAGTAACATATGATTCAAGGCTTCGAGAAAGGGTAAGTAACTTATTTACATATTGTTCTTTACCATCAATTATCAGTAAGCCACCACCATTTGTCACATGGCTAAAAATTAAACTAAATGCATTCCTGCTAGGGGTTTGAATCAGCAAGTTTTTTTGTTTTTTGTTTTTTGAGTTGGTGTCTCACTCTGTCACCCAGGCTGGAGTGTGGTGGCACGCAGCTCAAGCCACCGTAGCCTCGATCTGCTGGGCTCAGGTGATCCTTCTGCCTCAGCCTTCCAAGTAGCTGGAACTACAGGCATGTGTCACCGCTCCCAACTAATTTTTTGATTTACTGTAGAGATGAGGTCTCACCAATCTGCCTGGACTGGTCCTGAACCCGTGGGCTCAGGTGATCCTCTCATCTCGGCCTCCAAAGTGCTGGGATTATAGGCGTGAGCCACTGCACCTGGCAAGCAAGTGTATCTTAAGAATCTACCAGGTGACAGTCGCTGTTACGTCCTCTCATATATGCCATCTTATTTAGTTGCCAAAGTTCAATGAGATTAGCATCTTAAAGTATAGAAGAAGCCCTTTCCCCAGCTGCTGCCAAGGTACTCGGTCCTTTCGAGGAAGCTAAGGCCATGTGGGGGTGAGGCCCTCACTTCATCCGGCAACTGGCACCCAGCTGGGCAGCTCCAGCCCCACACTCACCATGCCAAGGCCTCCAAGTCCAAGTTTGCCTGCATCTCTGTATTCAGCCCTCACCCAGCACGACACCGAGGTGACCGTCTTGGAGGAGAAGATCAACACCCTCCCTAAAGCCACCGGTGTGACCGTGAAGCCTTTCTGGCCTGGCTTGTTGGCAGAGACCCCGGCCCCTGTCTCATCTGCTCTGTGGGGGCTGGCAGCCTGCGACTGCAGCTGGGGCCGTCCCAGCCAGGGCTCCTGCCCTTACTGCCGCTGCTGCCCCAGCTGAGAAGAAAGCAGAAGCAAAGAAGGAAGAATCTGAGAAGTCTGATGATGACATGAGCTTTGGGCTGTTTGACTAAACCTTTTACAATATGTTCAATAGACAGCTGAATGCTACCCAAAAAAGGAAGGATCGCCGGAGCCCAGCAGGTCAAGGCTGCGGTGGCCGGGAGCGGTCACTGCACTCCAGTCTGGGCGACAGAGTGAGACGCCAACTCAAAAAAAAAAAAAAAAGTATAGAAGAAAGTATGTTCTTAAGAACTTAACACAGTACAGCAGAGCTTAAAAGTAAAAGGGGAAAATGTGGATATTGCGTAATTTATGTCACCCAACTGCTGATGGACATCTAGGTTGTGACTGATGTCAATAATGTTAAAATAAGCACCCTAAACTTCCTAGTTGGTTCTTTGTAGACGTATCCAATACATTTCTAGAAATGGATATCATTAAGTGTGCACATTTTTTTTTTCTTCTTTTTATTTTTGAGTCGGAGTCTCACTCTGTCACCCTGGCTAGAGTGCGGTAGCACGCTCCCAGCCACCACAGCCTCGACCTGCTGGGCTCAGGTGGTCCTTCCACCTCAACCTTCTAAGTAGCTGGACCTACAGGTGCATGCCACCATGCCTGGCTATTTTTAAAAAATTCATTGTAGAGATGAGGCCTCACCAAGTTGCCTAGGCTGGTCTTGAACCCGTGGGCTCAAGCAAACTTCTCACCTCCACCTCCAGTGCTGGGATTACAGGTGTGAGCTTTGCATGTTACCCTCTAGCCCTGGAATCTGTACAAATGCCTGTATTTGTCCAATAAAGCCCCATTATCTACTTAAGATAGTTTGAGTATGTTTTATACCATACAGCCCGTTCAGACATACTGTACAACTCAAGATTTTAACTGTATTTTCTAGGGTTCATGGCCCTATAAATATATTCCCTTGATTGGGGGAGATAGAATAAGTGAGGGAAACCCAAGCTTAATCCTGGGATGATTGTTCCAAATTTGCCAAAGCATGTACTTAATTGTTTTATTGCACACTTATTTGAGGCCCTTTTATCTACTGGATCGTTGCAGAAATACGGGGTTGCTGAAGGCAAAGCGCTGAGTGAGCTGAGGGCCATGGCCAAGGCCGCTGGGGAGGAATGCCCAGCCTTTACCCCTCCTGGAGGAGAGACACTCGAACAGGTATGTATTCCCGCCAGTGTCAGAATGGTTAAGGTCGGACTCGTTTTGTAAACTCGATGTTTCTGAATTTTAGCTCGGCAGTTTGAAAGTTGTCTGCTTGGTTTATAAAACAACTCTTGCACTTACAATTTCTCTTTTCCTTTTCCCTTTTTTTTTTTTGAGTCAGAGTCTTACTTTGTTGCCCAGGCTGGAGTGCAATGGCATGCTCACGGCCACCGCTACCTCAACCTGCCGGACTCAGGTGATCCTTCCACCTCAGCCTTCCAAGTAGCTGGAGCCACAGGCACATGCTACCATGTCCGGCTAATTGTTTTTTTTTTCAATTGGAGTCTCACTCTGCCGCCCAGGCTGGAATGCAGTGTCACCTTCACGGCCACTGCAGCCTCCACCTGCTGGGCTAAGGCAGTCCTGTCACCTCAGACTCGCAAAGTGCTGGGATTACAGGTATGAGCTACCGTGCCCGGCAGCCCATTTTAAGTTATCCCACCTTTCTCATTTACTATGAAGTTGGCCATCATTACTGATAATGGACTTAAGGAAATGTGTTATTAGGCGGTCCTTCTAAGAAAGACCTTTGAATTTGGAGCAGCGGGCGTTAGCAGGGTGGTGGGTCTCAAGGGAGGGATAGGCAGGTCACCTGAGAGGTGAAATAATTCAAAACGTGGAATCTTCAAACCCTGGTGCCTCTCCAGTGTCGTTGGGGACATCATCCCTGGCTTGCATTCCTTTGACATGTTCTTCTTTTAATTGCATTATTGGCGATTTCCTCCCCATTCTTTATAATTTTCTTGAAAAGGCTTTTATTCCTTGAATAAGGAAAGGGTTTGCTTCTGGTGTTCCAGCTGTACTGAATTGCCAGTTAAGCTTCCTGGTCAGACTGTTTTATGGGGTTCTGTTTACTTGTAGACTTCTCTAACTAGACTGTGAGTGCTTCAGAGCCAGGAATTAGGAATGCATCTTACTCATCTTTGTCCCTGTGTGATTCCATAGTTCCAGAAATATGGTGGGCACTTTCTTATGTCTGTGGAACTACTGAATGAAAGAATAGAAATACACATTGAGATTCATTTGCTTATGGAGTACTTATGTTGTTAAATTAGAAAAAAATCCAGTCAGTTATGCTTTATGTTTATTTATTAATGTAATCATTCGTGTCACTGTATCTCACCTTTTATTTCTTTCTTCACAGGTGAAAATGCGTGGAAAGGAATTTTTTGAATTTCTTTGTCAACTAATCCTGAAAGAAGCAGGTCAAAAAGAACCGTTTTCCCAAGGAGCGCCAAGCAATGCTCTGGAAACTTCATTGGCAGAGATATTTCCTTTAGGAAAAAACCGTGACTCTGAATTGAATTCAGACAGTGGTGTTCCAGGGTTAGCAGCCAGCGTCTTAGTTGTGAGTCACGGCGCTTACATGAGAAGCCTGTTTGGTTATTTTCTGACTGACCTTAAGTGTTCCTTACCAGCAACCCTGAGCAAATCAGAACTCATGTCAGTCAGTCCCAATACAGGGATGAGTCTCTTTATCATACACTTTGAGGAAGGAGGAGAAGTTAAACCAACAATCCAGTGTGTTTGTATGAACCTACAGGATCATCTAAATGGAGTGACTGAAACTCACTAAATTTAAATCTACATCAAAATCTAACAATTTTGAGCCTCTGAAGGGAGTGCCTTTGACTTTATGTACTCCTGTCCTTTGTAATGCTGATTTGGAAACAGTTAAAAGCAGATTATAAAGTTCCAGTGGAATCCTAGCCACATGAAACTTTAATGGAAAGCCATTAGAACTGATTTATTTTGACTGCTTACAGCTGATGTTTTCCAGAGCAGTTTTACCATGCTACTCAGTTACATTTCTGGATTGTAAATGGATGGAGGAACTCAGTATTGCAAATTGGGTGGCTAATGACCTTGTAATAATGTTTTTTTGGTTCCCTTTTATATATTATTTTTCTTTAATGTCTGAAAATCTAGCCTATTTTATGGACTCTTGATAAGTAAGATACTGTATGTCTTTTACTATCTAGCTCATCCCGTGCTTGGGAGAAAAGCTGTATGTAATTCCCACTACATATTTTTGTTTGTTTATTTTGATTTGGAGTCTCACTCTGTCATCCAGGTTGGAGTGCAGTGAGTGGCATGCTTACAGCCACTGCAGCCTCAATCTGCTGGGCTCAGGCAATCCTTCCACCTCCACCTTCCAAGTAGCTGGAACCATAGGCACACACCACTACGCCCAGCTAATTTTTTGATTTATTGTAGAGATGAGGTCTCACCAAGTTGCTCAGGCTGGTCTTGAACCCGTGGGCTCAGGTAATCCTCTCACCTCGGCCTCCCGAAGTGCTGGGATTATAGGCGTGAGCCATTGTGCTTGGCCCCCACTGTATAATTATAGTGACTATGTGTTATATTTTAAAAGTCTTTTAAATGAAAAATCCTCACCATCATAAGTTCGTGCAAAGTAAAATGACACTAAAATGTTTTACATGTGAATCAACTGTTGGAATGTTTTCTCACTCCTTCACCCAGACTGGAGTGCAGCAGCCGCTCCCGGCCACCGCAGCCTCCACCCGCTGGGCTCCGGCGATCCTTCCGCCTCAGCCTTCCAAGTAGCCGGAATTACAGGCATGTAATACCACGCCCGGCTGATTTTTTGATTTATTGTAGAGATGAGGTCTCGCTGCCCAGGCGGGTCTCGAACCCGCGGGCTCAGGCAATCCACTCACCTCAGCCTCCCAAGGCGCGGGATTACAGGCTGAGCCACCGAGCCCGGTTGTTTTTCATTCTTGAGAACTCAAAATGTGGATGAATGTACATTATGATTGCAGAATGGTTTGGGAGGGAAGAAGTGAAAACATCATTTGATTAAAAAACATTAAAGAAGGAATCTCTGAGCAGAAGATACAAGGACAACATTTTCTAAATACCTTGCAAAGACAAGTCAGTGGAAACCAGAAAAGCCACACACATACAAAAAGTTTGACTAGGAGAATGAAAAATATTCACTTGCGCTTATCTACCCTGTAAGCTGAAGAATTTCTAGTTTGACGAAGGTTCTAAAGTTAAACAGTTAATAGTCCACGGCATAGTAACCCCGGAATAAAAGATGGAGTTTCCTTGCAACGAATGGTGCTTTGATAACCACAGCTGTGGTTATTTTTGTGGGAGGTACAGGTGAGGTTGCCGCTTCTTTCCACCAGATGGCACTGGAGAAAAGGGATTTTGACTAACTTCATTTTGAGCCTAAGATTGCTCCTTCAGAAATCCTTGTCTAAATGAAACAAGTGTTTTACGTGTAGTTTGCTTCTAAGTCACCACGTCAATGAGTGCTGTGAGTCTCAACCTGCAGGAGGATTAATACTGAAGTTCTCAGTTAAGGCTAAAATCACAGAGTCAAAATTTACATCATGTAATTTATGTCATAAAATTTGAGCGTCACGTAATTCCTAAATAGCTCAGTGTTTTACTGTTCTTGGTATGTCCAGCACTGGCGATTTTTCTACCAGTACTGGAACAGGGCGAGTATTTGCCAACAGAAGAAGTATACTATAAATAAATACTTGAAAAATAACCAAAAAGAGCAAATATTTACATTCCCACCGTAGAGAAGTAATCTGTTCAAAAAATTTTTTTTTAAAGAAACAAAACATAAGATGCAGGTAGGGTTCTCTTTAACCAGTTCCTGCTGTCCTATTTTCTTCCAGAGGCAACCACTGCAGTGAGTCTGCGTGTATGTTCACCTTTTCTTAACATTTTCACCTAGTGTGTATAGGGAAATTGTATTGTTTGAGTGCTTTAAAAGTGTACATAAATATCAGTTGGCTAAATGTATTTTTTTACTTAGGTCTTGGGGCACCATGTTGATATGTATAGATCTAGTTAATTACAACCACTGTATTCTGTTGAATACATATAGCACATTTTATTTATTCTTCTATTAGTGGGCATTTGGGTATAGTCACTATTTTCTTATTGAAATAGCGCTTCAGGGAACAGTCTTTTGCATCACTCCTTGTGCTATGTCAAAAATGTGTACTTCCAAAAAGCTCTACAAATTTTCAATCCCACGAGCATTATTCAGATGTCCTGTTTTTCGTATCTTTGTCAACACTTGTTACTGTCTGACTTGTTTTTGCTAATCTGATGAGTGAAAAATACCATCTCATTATTTTATTTTAGTAGGCTTTTCTGTGATTGCTAATGAGTCTCGGCATTGTGTGTGTGTGTTTACAGTTCTGATTTCCTTATGCTGATGAGTCACTTATTTATTCATTGGCTGGTTTTCTGTTGGGCTGTTTGGGTTTTTTCTTAGTAAGTTGAAAGAGTAATTTGTTCTGGATACCAGTCCTCCCTCTGTTACATACATTGCAAATATCTCCAGTTTGTTATTAGTCTTTTAGCTCTGTTTATGATGTAATTTTGTATGTGTTTTTAATTTAAAGACAAACATATTTTGTGTCCATTTTTTTTTTTTCGAGTCCGTCTCACTCTGTCACCCAGGCTGAAGTGCAGTGGCATACTCACAGCCACGGCAGCCTCGAACTGCTGGGCTCAGGTGATCCTTCTGCCTCAGCTTTCTAAGTAACTGGAACTACAGGCACACACCACCAGGCCTGGCTAAGTTTTTTAATTTATTGTAGAGACGAGGCCTCACCAAGTTGTCGGCTGGTCTCGAACTGCTGGACTCAGGCAGTCCTCTCGCCTCAGCGAGAGGACTATAATCCCAAAGTGCTGGGATTATAGACTTGAGCCACTGCACCCAGCACCTGTCCATTATTATGATTATTAGGTGTATATCTTTAAGAAGATTGTTCCAGCCGGCTCGGTGACTCAGCCTGTAATCCCAGCGCTTTGGGAGGCCGAGGTAAGTGGATCGCCTGGGCAACTCGGCGAGATCTCATCTCTACAATTAATCAAAAATTAGCCGAGCGTGGTAGCGCGCCTGTAGTTCCAACTCCTTTGAAGGCTGAGGTGGAAGGATCGCCAGAGCCCAGCAGGTTGAGGCTGCGGTGGCCGGGAGCGGCCACTACACTCTGGTCTGGGTGGCAGAGTGAGACTCCAACTCAAAAAAAAAAAAAAAGATTGTTCCACTATAAGGTCATAGAATAGCCTCCCTTTTTGTTATAGTTTTAGAGGACGTTTGAATGTCAAATCTTGAAATTATCTGGAATTCGTTTTTTATAGTTTAAGGGAAGAATTCCATTTTATGTTTTTTATGTGGTTGAAGCGGTTATTTCTACACGATTATTAAGACTGTCTTTTCCCAACTGATTTGCGTGTCAATCGCCGAGTGTCCTGATCAGGCTTGTTTCAGCAGGGCCACCCTGGTTGCTATGTGGAGAGAGGCTGTAGTGGAGGCTGTAGGAGTGCTGGGCCGGAGGCAGGGAAGATGGCAGCACATGTGGGGCCGCGTGGAGGAACAAGACCAGGGAGGTTGGCAGGGACTAGGTCAGAGTGCCTCGAGGAGGAGTCTGGCATTGCACTTCAAGGCTGACTCCGAGAGGAACTGTCGTCTTCTCATCTATGGGTGTCATAGATCTTTCCATTTCTTCTGGATCTTTTATCCACTGAAGTTTTGGCACTTTCTTTGTAATATTGTCCCTGTTTTTTTGTTTGTTTTTTAATATTTAATTTTTTTAAAGAGAAGTTTTAGATTCCAGCACAATTGAGAATCTCTCTCAGTCTCTCTCTCTCTCTCTCTCTCTCTCTCTCTCTCTCTCTCTCTCTCTGTGTGTGTGTGTGTGTGTGTGTGTATGCTTTTTAGAATCCTTACAACTTTCTACATAGACAATCATGTCACTTCTTGTAAACACAGACATTTTTATATTCGTATGCCATTTGTTTCTTGCTTTATTTTACTACCTGGGACCTCAAGTACATTAAATAGAAGTACAAGTTGGGCATCCCCAACCCCAAAATTTGAAATCTGAAATACTTCAAACCTCAAAACTATTTGAGCAGTGACACCTTTGCTTTCTGATGGTTCATTGTACATACTTTGTTTCATGCACAAAATTATTTTTAAAAATACTTAAAAATCACCTCCAGGCCATGTGTCTAAAGTGTATATGAAACAAATGAATTTTATATTTGGATTTGGGTTCTATCCCAAAGATAAATGTCATTATGCATGCAGATATTCCAAAATCTGAAAAAAATCAAAAATTCAAAATGCTTTTGGTCTCAAGCGTTTTGGATAAAGAACACTCAATCTGTAATAAAAGAAAGCATCCTGCTTGTTCCTAATTTAAGATCAGGATGTTAAGCTGTCTTAAGATATGTTAGCTGTAGGCTTTTCATAGATGCACTTTATCAGATAAATGAAATTCTCTTACGTTTCTAGTTTGCTAAGAGTTTTTGCTATAAATTAGTATGAAATGTTGTCTAAATTTTTTCTGCTTCTGTTGGACTGATGATACCATTTTCTCCTATTTCATTAATATGGTAAATTACACTGATCTAAAAATGTTCAACCAACCTTTCATACTAGGATAAACCCTATTTGTCATGATGTTTTAATAACATTTTTATGTATTATTGGATTTGGCTTGCTATGTTTTGTTAAGGATTTTTGTATCTATGTTCACAAAGATTATTTTTAGTTGCTTGTTTTTTGTAATTTCTTTGTCAAGTTTTGAAATCAAATTTCTGTCTTTATAAGTTAGGATGTAATACTCCTCTGGAAAGGTTTCAGTAGGATTGATGTTATTTGAAATGTTCAGTGGAATTTACTAATGAAAATGTTCACTTATTATCTTTTTAATTTCTGCAGAATTTGTGGTGATATGCCCTCACTAATTCTTCATATTAGTATTTTGTGTTTTCTCCTTTTCTTGATATTCTTGACTAGGGATTTTTCAGTTTCATTAATTTTTTTATTGAAACCAACCTCTCTATTGTTTGTTTTCTAATTCATTGATTTCTGCTCTTATATAAGTTATTTCCCTTTGTCTACTTATTTTGGAACGAATTTGCTCTTTTTTCCTTACAGTCTTAAGGAATAAACTCGTATTGATTTTAACCTTTCTTTTCATATATGAAGTTTTTAAAATGTAACTTTCCTTCTAAGCACTGTTTTACCTGCGTATCACAAGTTTTGGTATGTTGTGTTTTCATTATC